GGGCTGTGCCCTATAGGGGAGGGGTCCCTATAGGGGCTCCGGGCTGTGCCCTATAGGGGAGGGGTCCCTGCAGGGTCCCGTTAGCGGCACTCGGGACTCGGAGCGGACTGGGAAGGGGAACGCCGTGGATGGAACCCTCGGGGGAGCCGGGCTCTGCGGGGAACGGGGGTCCCGGCGGGGCCGGGCGGGGATGGGACGAGCTGCGGGGACAGCGCGGGGGCCACCGGCGCTGGAGCTGCCCCGTCCCGCAGGTGACAGCGGAGCCCGGAGGATGTGGGGCCGGGTCCCGGGAAGCGGCGGAGCCCCGGGGATGCGGATCCCGGGAAGCGGCGGAGCCCCGGGGATGCGGATCCCGGGAAGCTGCGGAGCCCCGGGGATGCGGATCCCGGGAAGCTGCGGAGCCCCGGGGATGCGGGTCCCGGGAAGCGGCGGAGCCCCGGGGATGCGGATCCCGGGAAGCCGCGGAGCCCCGGGGATGCGGGGCCGGATCCCGGCCCTGCTCGGCCTGGCCCTGGCCTTGGCATCGCTGGTGCCCACGGCCGGAGCGCGCCGGAGCCAGGACCTGCACTGCGGAGGTGTGGGGGGCACGGGGGGCGGGATGGGATGGGACAGGGCAGAGGGGAAAAGGGAGCTCAGGGACATGGGGACAGTGGGGACAGGTGGGAAAAGGGGAAAAGGGAGCACAGGGCCAATGAGGAATAGTTGGGACGGGGCAGGTGGGAAAACAGCACAGGGACAATGGGGACAGGGTGGGACAGGTGGGAAAGGGGGAAAAGGGAGCACAGGGATAATGGGGATAGGATGGGAGAGGTGGGAGAGGGTGAAAGGGGAGCACAGGGACAATGGGAACAGTTGGAAACAGTGGGGACAGGGCAGGACAGGTGGGAAAGGGGGAAAAGGGAGCACAGGGACAATGGGGAACAATGCGGATGGGACAGGCGGAAACGGGGAGCACAGGGACAATGGGGATGGGATGGGACAGAGGAAAAGTGGGGACAGGTGGGAAAGGGTGAAAAGGGAGCACAGCGACATGGGGACAGGATGGGACAGGAACAGGATGAATTGGGCAGACAGGGCTGAGCAGAAGGACAGGGACAGAGGAGATAGCAAGGCAGGACAGAGGGACAGTCCAGGGTGGTGGCACAGGGCTTGGGGATATCCACTGGGACCAGCTGGACCCCCAATGTCCAGAGGGACAGGCTGAGGGTCTCAGGCCGTGGGGACTCCTCCCGCACACCATCCCAGCGTGCCCCAGTCACACCAGTCTGGCCGTGGGCAGCCACAGGAGCACCGTGCCAGGTGCCCCATGTCACCGTGTGGAGCACCCTGCCAGGTGCCCCATGTCACCGTGTCCCCTCCCAGCCTGCCGGGCGCTGGTGGACGAGCTGGAGTGGGAGATCGCCCAGGTGGATCCCCGAAAAACCATCCAGATGGGCTCGTTCCGCATCAACCCCGACGGCAGCCAGTCGGTGGTGGAGGTGAGGCCTGTCCCGGCGTCCCGGCTCCCGGCGCTGCTCCCGGGGCCCGCGCTCAGCCCCGCCGGGGCCGCAGGTGCCGTACGCTCGCTCCGAGGCGCACCTGACGGAGCTGCTGGAGCGCGTGTGCGAGAAGATGAAGGAGTACGGGGAGAGGGCGGACCCGGCCACGCAGCGCAAGAGCTACGTCCGCGTCATCTCCCACGACGGCACCAAGATGGACCTTGCCGGGGTCAAATTCGACGGGGACGTCACCTCCAGCCTGAAATTCGCGGTGTGTGAGGGGACAGGGGGGAGGCCGTGGGCCGGCGTCGTCGCCGTGTGTCGCCGTGTGCCGCCGTGTGTCGCCGTGTGTCGCCGTGTGTTGCCGTGTGTCGCCGTGTGTCGCCGTGTGTCGCCGTGTGTCACCGTGTGTCGCCGTGTGGCCGTTGCAGTGCGAGAGCATCGCTGAGGAGTACGAGGACGAGCTGATCGAGTTCCTGTCGCACGAGGCTGAGAACGTCAAGGACCGGCTGTGCAGCAAGAGGACGGGTGAGATGGGGGGCCTGGGGGGCTCTGCTGCTGCTCCCAGGGCCGGGGCTGCGCCGCTGGTGCTGGGCTGAGATGAACTGAAGTGAAGTGAGATGAAATGAGCCGAGCTGAGGTGAAATGAGCTGAGCTGAGCTGAGATGCCAGCCCACAGCAGGAGCTGCTTCTGAGGGTCTCTCCTGCTGTTCTTGGGGTCTCTCCTGCTCCATCAGTGCTGGGATGGCAGGAGATACCAGCCCAGAGCAGAGGCTGTTCCCGAGGGTCTCTCCTGCTGTCCCTGGGGGTCTCTCCTGCTCTTCTGGGGGGTCTCTCCTGCTCCACTGGTGCTGGGATGGGATATGCTGCCAGCCCAGAGCTGGGGCTGTTCCAGGGGGTCTCTCCTGCTCTTCTGGGGGTCTCTCCTGCTCCGTCACTGCTGGGATGGGAGAAGATGCCAGACCAGAGCTGGGGCTGTTCTTGGGGGTCTCTCCTGCTGTTCCTGGGGGTCTTTGCTGCTGTTCCAGGGTTTGTGGCTGCTCTGTTGGTGCTGGGATGGGATTTTCTGCCAGCCCAGGGCAGGGTCTGTCCCAAGGGTGTCTCTCCTGCTGTTCCTGGAGGTCTCTCCTGCTGTTCCAGGGGTCGTGGCTGCTCTGTCAGTGCTGGGATGGGATTTTCTCCAGCCCAGAGCAGGGAGGAGCTGCAAGTTCTTCCCCAAATCCCAGCACCCCATCGCAGAGCCCGGAGCCTGCTGGCACCGGGGTTGTTTTGGGATGCTGGGGCCGAGCCAGGGCAGCTGCTGTGCTGACTCTGTGGCCTCTCCTGGCACATCCAATGGCCCTGTCCCACTCTGGGGCTATTTCCAGCTCACAAACACCCAGCTCAGGGCACGGGGTGACCTTTGGGGCCCCGCAGTGCTGGATGGGGCAGGTCCCTGCGTACCTGGCACGGCTGTCAGGGCGGTGCTGTGCCCCAGGGGGATCCTGAGGGTCTCCACAGCTGCTCCCGGGGCTCCTCCTGTGGCGTGGGGGCTGGAGCAGGGACAGGCCAGGCTGTGGCTGTGTCCAAGCAGCCGCATTTGTCATTAACCACAGGACAGAGGCGGGGAAATGCCGCTGGCCCGGCTCAGGGCACAGCGGGGAGCGGTCCTGGGAGGGGACAGGGCAGCAGGGGGGGTCCCACGGGGCTGGGACGTGTCCTGGGGGTCCCATGGGGCTGTGATGTGTCCTGGGGGTCCCACAGGGCTCCAGCACTGGGGGTC